AAGAAAGCTGACTTGTTAGCGACCGTCCTGTCTTTCCTGAGGCTCTCAGCGCCTGGCTTTTCTTTTTGGACCTCTCCTTTTTTTGGCATCTGCTTTTTTTGCTTTCTGTATCGGGCAGCGCTGATGGTCTCCGCGCAGTGCTTTGGCAGCAGCTGAGGGGTCATCAAGTAGGAAAATGCATGCAAAAAAAAGAAAGGGGAAAGACAAAGACAGATTGAGAAAGAGAGAGAAGGAGGGTGGTAGAACTAAATCCATGTAAGCAAATATAAAGTGACATCTTGAAAAACACATTATGCAACTCTTCATTCGCATTGCAGAAATCTTGTCAAAAAGTAACCGTTTCATCACATTTTTCTCAAGGGATTAAAGAAACAACATGACTTAATCAAATCCAGAAATGCAGACCTGCCTTATCATTTTATTCAAATTCCCAAGTCTGTTCCCTGCCTCCAGCTATGGCAAGTGTGATTACATTTGGATATGGGTTTTGGCAGGGCAAATCTGTTAGATAATTAGTTTTTTAAAGCCCGAAATAGACTGGGACTTCACCTGATCGCAGAGGTTGCGCTGCTCAGCACATATCTCTAACACAACAGTGCTGGTCTGCTTGGCTATCTGCTCCAAGAAGGTGACACACAGGCGCAGACTTCTCTTCTCCATTGCCTCTACCTGGAGACACAAGAAACACAAGGGTGTGTGTGTGTGTGCTGGCACACACACACACACACACACACACACACACACACACTGTCAAAAGCACAAATGCAAAAATGAGCTGTTTTAATCAACTTAAGTACTGCAGACTGAGCTGGGAAAGAGTGTAGATGCATAAATCTGCACTCCTTTAGTCACAACAAAAAGAAGTCTCTATTTCTGTGTAAAATTATTAACTTTCTCATCAATGTATAATGCATATAGCAGTCATAAACTACGATTCACCACGAGAGCTACAAATCAACAATCATGTCTGCTGTCCTCACCACCTTTAGCTGGTGATTTATTGCTTCCTCAGCACGATAACTGAACACTGACCTCTTCTGGGCAGAGAGGGTCTCCACTCTGACTGAAGTGAGAACAGACCAAAGGGAAGGCCATGAGGTAACGCTTCATGGTCGCCTCCTCGCTGCTCTGGGTAAACATCTTCTCAAAGACACGAGGGTAGAAGCTGTAAAACAGAAAAAAGAGTCGTGAGAGAAGAGAA